CTTGCCAGGCAGGCGCTTTTGCCGCTGAGCTAAATCCCTAGCCCCTGAGAAACTATCTTATAGATAATAATATGTAAAACAATAACCATTGATAATTTCCTACCACTTTGTCTGTAATTTGGTAAGCCCCTCCTATTATTATGTTATCCTTCTTTTACTCTTTAAAATAAAAAAAAGACTAACAAACAAACAAACAAAAAAAAAAAAACCCTGAACATAGAGAGCACTATGTTACATCCCCAGCACTTTTCAATTTATTTTTTGCAGGATCTTTCTTAACTTTCTCAGGCTGTGCTCAAACTGTGAACCCTCCAGCCTCAACCTCATGAGTATCTGGGATGACAGGCAAGGACCCCCATGTCTGAGTGAAGGGCTATTTTGAGGAACTCAAATCTGGGTTGATGTGAGAGTTCTGCATGTGACTTTCCCATTTTGTAGTTTCCTTGTCAAGTTTTGGTATAATAATTTTCCTGGTCTGATAAAGTATGTTGCACTGTACTTACGCTTTTTCTATTTGCAAAAAATGTCCGTGGAAGTTTCTGATTTGATGTGTTTCATGAATGTGAAAGAAATCACCAGCAAAGAATATTGAACTAGAGTTTGCATGGGGAAGTGTTTTAATTACAGGGTCAAAGTACTAAACACACATGAGATGATTCAGATTTTCTGTTTATCTTTATCTGTGCTTAGTAAATTGTGTCCATGGGATTTCATCCATTTTATCTATGGCTTGTGACATGCTGGCATAAAGTTATTTACTATATTCTGCTGTTATCTCTGTAAAACACATATGGGGATCTGTCTTAATGTCTGCTATTTTCTGATGCTGAAATGTGTGTCAACTATTACTAAGCCTTCATTAGTAGCTAATATTAGTATTTTATCTTTAAACATATTTAGAATTATTTCACATACTTTTTAAAATTTTTGTTTGATATTTTTGTTCAAAGATTTTTACAGTGTTTGCTGATATATTCATCCATGGTAATTTATTTTCTCATTTCCTACCTATATATTTTTTTAATGTCTTTTTGAGACAGGGTCTTGCTATGCAGTTCAGGCTGGCCTTGAGCTCACTTTGTAGCCCAGGCTGGTCTTGAACTCACATCATCCTCCTGCCTCAGCCTCCTGAGTGCTGGGATTACAGGTGTGCACCACCACGCCCGGCTCCTACCTGTGCTGTGTTTTCTGTCATTAACATTGTCCTTCGCTTCACACATCCTCTCCCATGAGTCCATTTCTCATTCACTTGGTGGCTACTGGAGAATCTCTGGTTTTATTTCCAGCACACAGAGGTGTGAGCTCTCTCTGACCTCAGTCAGGTGAGTCTCAGAAGGTCCTGGAATCTCTGGAGTCTCTGTCGGGTGTCCCTGGCTGAGGCATCCTTAGTGTCCTTTGGGTCGGCTTCTGCGTGAGTGGATGCCAGGGCAGCGAACACAGTGGGCTCCTCTGGGAGGACTCCATACTGGGGGGAAGGAGGTGCAGGTGCCCCCTGTCTAAGCGTTCAGCGGCACAACTGGGCATAGGTCACGTCCTGGGGACCCTCACAGGCAGCAACCTGCAGGGGAGAGGGGAGAAGGGAGGTTCATGCTTGACCCAGGAAGAAGCCCGGGGCCAGGGGAGCGCAGGACCCACCTGAGCGTCCAGCGGCCTGTCCTCCCCTGCCTGTCCATCCTTGGGGTCCAGGAGCTGTCCCAACAGGGCTGAAGGAGCAGAGGCCCCTCTCCTGGGTGCTGAGTGCTTCACTTGAGCGTATGTCACTCCCTGGGGGTCTTCATGAAGTGGGCTCTGCAGCAGGGAGACAGAGACACAGATGGGGTCTCCTTGGTTCCATGCTGGCCTCCTCCAGCCACTTTGGGGGCCAGATGGATCCTGTAGATATAAGACCACACTCTGTGTCTTCGGACCGGCGACTCATTCCCGACCTCGTCGTTCCCCGGACGGAGGACTTCCGGCGCACAGGGAGCCTCGGGCGGGGA